CGTGCTGTCAAACCTACACTAGCAAGGAGATCGGGCTGAAACTATAGCTACAAGCTATCCAAGGATGGTACTATAGAATGTCACCTCAAGGTAGGCCTAGTGGCGTCATCTCTTGGTTAGGCCGGAAACTTATCAATCCACCCTCGTATGTTTATATCGAATAAATAAATAAATATGTATTAGAAAATTCGTTACCGAATTACACAAAAATTGGATAGACTGGGTGAAAATGAAACGTATTGAACATGGCTTAGCACAGTCTGCCACTTTCACAGAATGAAAGGAAGGATTATTGGCATACGATTTCCGATGATTCCAAACTTCTTTTGCTAGAATCAAAACTTTGTAAATGAAATGTATTTCGTAATAACTTCATACCGTCTGCTGATAGCTAGGGCGGGTTGCATTTACCACTGAGTTGATGTATATCACGAGGCAGATAGTAAGGTTTATTATAATAGATATTAGTTTCACCATAGATTGAATTCGCCAGGAACTCAAGGATTTACAGACGGTATAAAGTCATGATGAGATGGTCGAATTTCTGGCGAATTCAATCGATAGAGAAATTATTTATTATAATAAAATGTACGACAATCTCAACATGACTTTNAAATCTGCTGGTTGCTCCTTTCGTTGTCGATCACACAGGAGACCTTCATAATGTCTTCTATTTCAGATTACCTGCCAGTTTAAATCAGAAAAGCCCCGAAGATGTTTCAAATTAAAACATGAATAATTAATAAGTTTTAGTAAAGTCAATAGATTCATGTTATATGTAATTACTTACGCAGTAATATAGATTTTCTGTTCATATGGTAGAATTTGTCGATTTATTTGTTTAAATTCGGTTTAGATTACAATTAGATTTTTTTTAGGTGATGATGGCGTTCGTAGTTAACATGGAGTTCTCATAAGGGAAGGGATTGTTTCAAAGGTAAGTTTTTTAGTTTTTCTTGCTTAAATTCAGTGGTATGCGCTTTGAGATTTACGCGATGTTCGTAAATATCGTAATGTTGGTGAACTATAAAATGTATATAGGAAATGATAAATTGTCCTTGTGATTAGGGTACGTAAACGCTTTTTCTGAGAATCAATACAAATGTGCACATTTGACTTCCAAGATTTCAGATTTTGTTAAAAATACATAATAGTATGGGTATGTGGACAGTATCTTTTTTATGTATAAAAATGAGGATTTTAAGGGATGTAATTTCGATGGCAGATAATTGAAATATTGTGGAACAGAATTCAGGCGCATTCTGTTTCACCCCTTTGTGCCCTTATAACGAAAATAAATAAACTCTTAAATTCCATTTCCGTTTGAACAAACAAAGCAAGTCTGTTATCCAACGGCTTTGCTTATTCGTTCTGTTTTTAATTTACAAGTGTTTGTTCTCTTTCCATTTGTAATTCATTAAAAATGTGCATTACGTTTCGAAAAGTTGTCTTTTTACTTTGTACTCCGTTTAAAATTTAAAAACGAAACGGGCCATTACATAAAAACAAATAAAGAATTCCTTTATTCCATACTTTATTGAAAACAAAAATGCTTTAAAAGTATCTTAATAAAGGCACTGCTTGTGTATGCTTTTATAATTAATTGTTATGATAAAAATTACCCTTGAATCGTAGTTATTATATGACGAAGATGTTGCAAAAAAATGATTAAATGTTTATGAAATCACACATTTCTTGAGTTGACCTTTTGATGAATAACTTATTTTTATGGTCATTCAGTTAGAAAATTTGATTTTCTACAGAAAGAAAAGCATTATTGAATCTCAACGGATGACCTCAGATTGGCATTGGTCTATGTTATGTCGAAACTGCATACGGCGTGCTGATGATAACTAATGTCAACGGTATCGCGTTACATGTCTGTCGGTTTACATAGAATACTGAATTATAAATTTCAACAGAAAAAAGTGTTTGAAATAGTGGAACTACACGTTTTGAAGTCAATCTCTAATGTTAGACGTTTTTAAATACATCTTAGGCGAGAACTTAAGTAAGCAGCTCTGTTTTCGTCAGTCAAGTTCAAACACAAAACTGCTCTTTTTTTTTTTCGAGACCCATGAGCTGTACTGCTCACTATAACTCAAGTCCTATTACCATAGAGAGCGTTTTATATTTTGCATCAGAAGTCGTACTTATGCATGAGTATATATCGAACGTCCGGGTTACGTTATTCAAAAGTTATAGAATCGAGTGAGTTGGAAAAATTGATAAGCAGCCGATCGTTGAAAACAGGCGCCGATTTATGATGGGAATGTACTCCAAGGTAATATCATACAGGTCGATGGAAAGTCTATATATTTGAAGCTGATCAGGTTCATGCAAAGGATTTATCTTTGTAGGAGATCTTGGTAATTTTTTTGAGTAAAGCCGTATGAAAATTAAACTTACTATCTACTTGTTCATATCAATCAAACAATCAATATCTCTTCTTATCTTTATTGACTTTTATATAGTACCCCTCTGTTCTATTATTCAACTTCATCATCATTATAAGGTTATCAGTCCTAAGACTGGTTGGATTCGCACCTCCACTCCTTCCTATCCTGAGCTAATCTTCGCATTTCCCTAAAAATAGAACATTCCACATCCTTAACTATTTCCGAAGAGTAATCTAATGTAGGTCTGCCTCTATTCCTCTTAACTCCTGTTTTTGTCTCTATGTCTCTGACTAGATCTTCAAGCCTGACAAGGTGTCGTACCAACCTATCTCGCTTATTTTTTATTAACTTCCATAGAGTCCTTTATTCACCTATTGTTTCTAATACCTCTTCATGTCTAACCTTCTCTAGCCTCATCATTCGTCTGTTACACCACATTTCGAACACCTCCAACTTTTTCTTTTCCGCCGTTCATGTTTTGCACCCGTACAGCGCCGCACTCCAAACCTTTAATAATCTTTGTCGAATTTATAAATTAACCGTTCACGAGCATAGAAGTGTCTTCTTTTTATTGAAGGCGATTCTACCCTGCGCTATCCTCTGCTTCATATCCCTACTCCTCTTTTCATCCTGACTTATCTGACTTCCTAGATACCTAAAATTGGACACTTCTTCTAATTTTTCGTCTCCTATCTTTATATTTATTTATTTTCATAGAATATTGTTTTGTCAATACCGCTTCCATTTTATTTAATGCTATCTCCAACTCCTCCTTGCTAGATGCTAACAGTGCTATATCATCTGCAAATCTAACCATACTAATTTTTTGTCCCTCTATATTTATCCCTACATTTGTACTGTCTTTAATGATGTTGATCGCGTCTTCGATGTATAGATTAAAATGTAGCGGTGTCTGACTCCCTTCCTAATATTAACTTCTCTACGTTGCTGCTGCAGTTCTATAACTGCCTGTTACTTTTTATACAAGCTAAGTATCACTAATTCTAATACTTTAAAATTTCTAATATTTTCCACTTTCTGTCATCCGCCTATAACACTACACCTCAAACGATTTTTCTATTCTGTCGTACCCAGCGTTAGAACAGACCCGTTAAATAATCTTTCTCGAATTTTTTAAATTAACCATTGACCAGTACAAAAGTGATTGCTTTGTTCAACGGCCTATGAATCATAAAATGGAAACAGGGAATATTGAAATTTTAGTTCCACGTAGTGTCAACATAAATCTGCTGGTTGCTTCTTTCGTTGTCGATCACACAGGAGACCTTCATAATGTCTTCTATTTCAGATTACCTGCCGGTTTAAGTCTGAAAAGCCCCGAAGATGTTTCAAATTAAAACATGAATAATTACAGATTTGATTAGTACATGCATTTTTATCTACGTAAATTGAACTTCTACATTTACGCTTACTTTCTAACTCATCATAAGCCAAATAACATATTAATCTTGTTCTAAATGGTCCGTAACGAGTAGAAGTTTCCCAATTACAACTTTCCACTGGTAGTTAAATCTATTAGGTGTTCGGGCGCTGCTTTTCGCCAAATTGCTATGCTCAGTACTTTATCTTCACTAACTATCTTAGTCGTCCTGGCTGCGTAGTCGTCTACCCATTCCTTGGAGGCTTGAATTTGTATGCCTTATCGTTCGTTGTAAAACACAGACATGCTTGTAAATGGAATTATTTCCTGTTTTTAAAAATAAAACACAAGTACTCAATTGTTTTCTTTTATTTTTAGATAATGTTAAATCAGAGTTAATGTTAAGGGATAAATAGGTATCATTATCCTCATAAGGTCGTCAGTCCTAAGACTGGTTGGACACGTACCTCCCCTCTTTCCTATCCTGAGTTAAACTTCGCGTTTCCCAAAAACTGGAATATCCTAAACCCTTAACTACTGGGTTGTTCGGAAAGTCATTTCGTTTTTTCCCGACAGAGGATTTAATTGTATTCTTTTGCACACAACTTCACATTTAAGCCGTATAATTTTTATATGCTTTGAGAGCTCATATAGCAAGGCTTGTGTGTGAAAAATTCCAATTAATTCTACGCAGTAGTTTTTGGTTGGTGCCCTTTTAAATATGGAGAGCGATAAGCAGCATTTTCGACATATCTTACTGTTTTACTACAGAAAGGGTAAAAATGCTGTTCAAGCCAGAAAGAAATTGACTGATGTGTATGGAGAAGGTGTGTTGACAGTACGCCAGTGCCAGAACTGGTTCGCTAAATTTCGATCCGGCAATTTTGATGTCGAAGATGCACCACGTTCGGGAAGGCCGGTTGAAGCTGATAAAGACGCGATAAAGGCATTAGTTGATGTGAACCGGCGAATAACAACACGTGAGATCGGATTGAGGTTAAATTTATCAAATTCAACAGTTTATGACCACTTGAAAGGCCTGGGATTATCCTCGAAGCTCGATGTATGGGTTCCCCATGTTCTCACAGAGAGAAATCTGTGTCGCCGCATTGACGTCTGCGATTCGCTTCTCAAACGTCACGAAAATGATCCGTTTTTGAAGCGCATCATCACTGGGGACGAAAAATGGGTTGTATACAACAACGTCAAACGCAAGAGGTCATGGAGCAAAAAAGATGAACCGGCTCAAACCATTTCCAAAGCCGATATTCACCAAAAAAAGGTGATGCTGTCTGTTTGGTGGGATTTTAAAGGAATCGTTTTTTTTGAGCTTTTACCGGATAACACAACGATTAATTCGGAAGTCTACTGTCATCAGCTGGACAAACTGAATGATGCACTTCAACAGAAAAGGTCAGAACTAATCAACAGGAAAGGTGTAGTGTTTCACCAAGACAACGCGAGACTTCACACAAGTTTGGTCACTCGCCAAAAGCTTTTACAGCTTGAATGGGATACAATGCTACACCCACCATATTCTCCAGACCTGGCACCATCGGATTATTATTTGTTCCGGTCACTCCAAAATTTTTTAGACGGTAAAACCTTCACCTCAAATGAGGAGGTCAAAAACCTCCTCGATCAGTTTTTTGCCAGCTTTTCTACCCACGTTATTCTCTTCATCCACCTATTTCGAGCGCTTCTAACCTTTTTTTTTCAGCCGCGTCCACTGTCCACGTTTCGCACCCGTACAACGCCATGCTCCAAACATACACCTTTAACAACCTTTTTCGAAAATAATACCTATTTTCGAAAAAAAAGAGCTTGTTCAAAATTTGTTGATATAAAATTCTCAGAAACGAAATAGGTCAGTTCTCAAAACCCAAGGATCTGTCCAAGGTTTCGCATATCGTACAATGGTGTACATTTTAATCTTCATAATGATTGAAAGTTCGCTGGGGATTGGATGAAACATATAAATAAACTTTTAATTAACACAAACATTATTTTTCAAGTTATTATCTAACAAACATCGTCAAAGCCCTTTTAATGTTTAAACTCGTAGGAGAGATTTTTAGTTGCGTAGTATTTGCACCATTACTTTTTAGTACCTTTAGGGGTGTAGTAATCGTTTCTGGATATGACAGGGTGTAAATT